TGATAGGAATGTGTTTCTACTCTCGTTTCTGTACATTTCTTAAGAAATTCCTTTGGGTGGCCCCCAGCCCCTCTGAGTTGCCTACCAGTGCAGTCCAAGTTATCTCTCTAGGATCAATTACTGTGTATGTGGGTGGACTGGTTATAAAATTACAGTGTTCGAGTGGTCTGTCCACTCAAACCTAAACCTCTTTTCCAGAAAATCTTTAATTTTTTCGTTTAGTTTTACAGAATGTGTGTGTCCTCCTTTTAGCAATGTACGTATATATATCACGGTAGCAGAAATGCTTGTATGTCTAAAACTGAACTCATTCTCTCTTGCTACCAATCATTCCTCCCCAAATTATTTCTCCAAGCCTTCCATATTTCTGCAAAAGCACTATCATCTTGAATAAATATTTTTTATACACATGAAATAAAAAGTAATTAAAAAGTGAATATATAACTGCTAAGAGTACTTTTCCTGACCAATATATGGGAGAGTTCATCTGAAAGAATGATATAGGTATAATTGTCAAGATACTTGCAAAATAAATTTTTCTCTAAATGTTTATCCATGATTTTTATTAAATCGATCTCATAGATAATAATCAAGGGTCAAAAAATTGATTATTTTGCTTGAAATAAAACATGCAAAATTTAGATTAAATTTTGTGGTAAATAGTAATTTGGCATTGCCAATATTTCCCTTGGTTTTATGTTTATTTTTGCCTAAAATAATTAGTTTGAATCTTCAACTTTTTGGATAAGTTTTCTAATGTAGCAAGAAATGCTAAAATTATAACTATATTTTTTCTTGAAATATAATCATAAATGTTATATCCCTTTGAGAACCACAAATATTAATTTTACAGCTTTCTTTTTGATATTTTTCTTAAGAGATAGAGACTTTACCAAACTTGCATGTAGAAAATAACAAGCTGTATCACTAGGGCTGTCTTTGTACATGGCAAGGAAATGAACTGTGAAATAACTAAATCAGTCCATCTGCTCCCCTGTAGTCAGCCTTAGTGTTCTCTCCTGAATAACAGAATTATATAAATTATGTGTTGTTAATGGCATGAGAGAAACCTTATCAGCAACCTTCAATAAGTAACAGCCTATTATAGTATATCTATGTTGATGTGGGCTGACAGTCTGAAAGGAAAATGAAAATGTTGAAACCGTGTGAAATCAATTGGTGGAAAATAAATTTGTGTGTGTATTTTCAAAGATATAGAAAGTTAGGCTCTATCTATATTATGTAAAAAATAACAAAAGATTCTTATCATTACGTCAAAGACAGTCAAATAAATCTAATAAACAAAATCTGATAATCTGAGTTATTAGATATCTTCATGATTAATCAGCTCTCTTTCTGAGATTCCATATTCATGGAATCAGCATACGTTGAGATAATTATAAATATTTGCAATATTGCAAACTTAGATACATTTCTAATGATAGTTTTAAAAATGCATAAATTCCTAATTTAATATCGTAAAGTGTTTCTTTTCATTGAATATTATAAATATGTATTTTACTCTTTTCTTTAACAAAGGAAACTTGTTTGATTGATTGGTTTGTTCTTCAAGGGCTTCAAGTGCTCCTTCCAGACTATCTTCAGGAACGTTTCGTACAAGCAGCTTTGAGCTACATTGCTTGCAATTCTGAGGGAGAGTTTATCTGCAAGGACAATGACTGCTGGTGTCAGTGTGGTCCCAAATATCCAGAATGCAACTGCCCCTCCATGGACATCCAAGCCATGGAAGAAAATCTTCTTCGAATAACTGAGACCTGGAAAGCCTACAACAGTGACTTTGAAGAATCAGGTAAGACATATTTTAATGTAACACTTTTAAACTTTGGCAAAAAGAAAAAGGTTGAATACGCCATATTACTCTTCTGGAAAATACTATTACATGGTTGGAAAGGTCATTATTTTTTATTCTTCTTTCAAGTGGACATTTATATTGCTTTTATTACTGGTTGCTCAGTATTTTGCTAAAAAGAATAAATGGCGTCGTGTGTATTGTTATGTGCTATTGGCACTGCAGTCTAGCCTACTCTTGAGTCAATGTATTAGACATTTAATAAAGAAAGTTCTTGCTTTTCTCAATACAAGAATTTATAATTTATTGTATGATACTCTGATGCCTCTCTGTACTTTTCTAGTGGCTCCTATGTTTCCCCTGTGAAGCAAAATGTAGATAGCATTTGTTATTTACCTTCTTTACCTTAACATAATTCTCATGAGTGCTTATCTTCACTTAACTACTTATTTTTATAATTAAACTTAGATAAATTTTCATTTAATAGTGTTTTGTGAGTTTTTGTTTTGTTACTTCTTAAATTTGTAAGTGCATACATGTGTTTTCAAATATATGCTTATTGGCTGCATAACCTGTAATTGTCTACATTTTATAAAGCATTAAAACTTAAAGAATAAAGGCCAGGCATGGTGGCTCACGCCTGTAATCCTAGCACTTTGGGAGGCCGAGGCGGGCGGATTGTTTGAGCTCAGGAGTT